CTTTTCATACTGTTTGGGCTGGTTGATCTTGCTTCACCCATGATCTCTTGCGAGTAATATTGTTATAAACTATCCACTTTTCGTCGCCAGTAACTAGGTTCTTCNGCGAATCACAGATGCTAATCCGTTGCGTCAAATGAATTTCCTTTAACTGGTGAGGGATCCATAAATCAAGTTTCTTGACATAACCAAGGGTTTTTAATTTTTATCTTCAATGCAAGTATGCGACACATTGAGCTTCTCTGCAATAACTCGTGTTGTGCTGTGACGATTTGAATCGATAATGGCCTTGATATGGGTTTCATCCACTTCGACTGGGCGGCCAGATCGTTGTGAATTTTTGAGTGAAAAATCACCGGAACGAAATCTTTCAAACCAATTTCGACACTGCCTTTCTTTTAAGGCTTCATCTCCATATACGGCAAATAACTTCTTTTGTGCTTGCGATGCGTTCTTGCCTTTTCGGAAGTAATACAATAAAATGTGTCGGAAGTGCACGTCCTGCTCTTTCATATTTAAATTGGAATAAAAACAAAACTAAAGAACTAAACAAAAAAAATTTTTTACTAATTAACCTAGAAGCCCATACAGTAAGAAAAAAATATAGGTTAGATGCTCTGGCCACGTTAACAAAACAAAAGAAAGTATAGAGTGAATCCGTCAACAAAAACGACAATGACTTAGTTGCCAACCCAATAGTAGTGTCATTATGGATGAGGGTATTTAACCGTGCTTTTAATTTCCTACTTCCTCCTTGTCAGGACTGTCACTATTGATCACTCACTAATACCCCATAAAGCAGACTCCAATGGTGATTTTTAAGCAGATGTAAACAATTTCTCAAGGCCACCGTAGAGGGGGGGGGGCGCTGATTTTGCCAATATCTAATTGGCGGGTGAATCGTACTCACCTTCTACCTTGCGTATTGTTTTTGTTCACCAATTTTCTCTAATGAGTTTATTTGCGCCGATAAATAGGCAATTGTTTTTTTGTCTATAAGCATCTATTGGCTTTTGTTATTGTGACAAGGTACTGGATGGAACCGATTAAAAAGAGTCCAATATTAATCCTGATTTAAAATTTACCTCGGAAAAATTGTTGTTATTACTATCAATAGGAAGATGTATGATTTTGGGATAAAAGGCATTTCTTTCCCAAAAGATAACCACCCACTGACCAAACATTTATCCCATGTCGCTTGGACTAACATCAACACCCCGCAAAGGGAAAAGAAATTTTTATCCATCAGAAAATGTGGTAATTTGGGAAGCATTGTGATATTAGACTATTTTAATATTCATCCAGCAATAAAATACAGTAATGAGTCGTTACTTCTTTCACATTTTTACCACTTACTCCTGAGGCAATATTCACTCAATTTTTAGAATATTAGTATTAGTACAAAAGCAGTTGCATCCACAGACGTTAATAAGGCACAAAGAATAGAATTTAAAGGTTTTTTGAAAACTTGATAGTTTCGCAATGGCTTGGGGTAGCGTAGTCGTTTTTCAAAATGTTCGTCTGTGTTACTAAAGCTCCCTGACTTATTACCTATGAGTTTAACTAAGACCACGGTATGAACAAGCTTATTGTTCAACCCTTTGGCGCCCTTATCATAGTACGGTTGGCGTTCAAAATAAGCTCCACAGGTACTAGACTCCTAATAGAAGGCGCTATTGCCGTTTGAAACATGTTCGATATGTCTTCAGCCATCACCAAAACTCACCATGTCGACAGCATCAGTCTGTTGTGAGACAGGCGTGAGTACGGTTGGGTGAATTTTTCAAAAAACATAATTTGGACGTTAGAGGGCTAAAAGCAAACCAAGATATGGGCGTAAAACTGAAAATCAAATCACTGAAAGAGGCTCCATCAACCAAACATTTGTCTTACGTGAGCTCCAGGAATCATATTAGAAGCTCAATTGGAACTGTTCAAGTACTTGTCGATTCGTTTTTTTGGGAAATTCCTTTTAAAGAACGAAATTTTTAATCCCTTTTAGCATTCAAGTATTTTTTGGACAAATTACAACAAATCCGGAAAGTATTTTCGAAAAAATATTTATTTATTTATTTCAAATGGCAGGCGTTTTGATAAATATCATTAGCCCCTTAGTTGACTTCATGCTTCACAGAGGGGAGGAACATCAAAGTAAGAAAAATTCGACAGGGAGAGCAGAAGAGAGAATCAAAGATCCGAAAGATATGGACACAAAGGCAGGGAAAAATGAGAGATGAGTACTGTGGAATGGATAGAATATAACATACAGTGAGGCCATTAAAGTTTGTGGTCAGAAGTCAACTGCCGGTTAATAGACTTTTTAATAGACATAATAGACTTTAAGTGGTGTGATTCACAGATGTAAAAGAGGCAGACACGAAGGTAGAGAAGAAGGTAAGGTGAGTACTGTGAAGTGGTCGAATATGGAATTCGATGGGATCATGTTAGTTTTAAGTCAGAAGTCAATTGCTCGTTTATAGACTTCTTGCCGAATGGGTATGCGTTGCCCAGGGTGCACCACGAGGAGTTAAGTCTATCGCACACCCCATTTTCAAAACAAGGCTTTAGGTGTTTTATTTGAAGCCAATGATTGACTTGAGTTAGGCGTTGCCCTTTGAATTAAATTTGTCGAATGTAGAAATTACCAATATATAAAAGGCCATAATTTGAATTTTTAACAAAAAACTTTCAAATGGTATTATTTTGGTGATCAATTGTAAACGTAAAAATGATACTTCACTTCCTTAAATGCCGCAATAAGTCAAATCAGGCGAAACCCATCCTGTAAGTCGAAAATGTTCCTACCTATCCAATAATCTTACATTCTCTCCTTAGTTTCTTTTAGCCTAGGTTCCCTTCGGCTAAGTTGAAAGGGTGATAGTTGAGGCAGACATTAGTTTCTTTTACAAAACTCCAGACAACTGCGCTATACTATCACCCTTCAAAATCATCTATGACCTTCATGAATCTGGATTCTACAAAAGTAGGTACACACCTTCATAAGGTAAATCAAAGGTAAGCTTAAGAAATAATTACCCTCTAAACACGCATTCAAGATAGTTCGTACTTTCAACATAATACATTTACAGTATTAGTAAAATTATACAATGGGGGTAATTAATGAGTCGTTATTTGATTTTGGAAGAAATGACTTTTCCTTATAAAAGTGATTGAATTGGGACTTTGTATTGTATAATCGTCAGCAGTTAACTCGCAGGGCCATGTCTGAGGTCATGTCCAGTAAATTGGTAGCTTGATGATTGGTTGATTGACTTAATTCTACCTGGTATTATCATCTTAAATTGCCTGTTTATTTTAACAGCTATAAACAAATTGATGGAACTGAAAACAGAGTGAAGCTGAGAGAGAGCATATTTAGATAAACAACTGCAGAGGATTTTTTATTTATATCTAATGCTAAATATCGAAATTCAAAAGGAAGAGCTCAAATTTTAACCCAAGATAGTTTATGCCAATTCTCTTTCCTCGCCTTCTACCCATGAAGCATCGTGATTTCGACAATTATTTAACTGGAATTCCGTACGAACTCAACGAGTGGTCACTCTCCCAGGCGTGTCAGTTTGGTATTGATGATTTCTAAACGCTTTTACGCGTTATTCCGTCCGTTCACTCAGTTTGGCAAATAAGTTTTAAACTATTTATGGCGCATAATCTGTCTGTTCAAGTCAACCAAATGATTCATAACCGTCTTCGAGGATAGATGAAATCACACTGCTTACTTAGGAAGTTTTCTAAATGACTTTCTCACTGATTGAACATTCTTCCTCAGTCCAATCTTATCTGTACTTTTGCACCACGATGTCCCCCGCGATTTTCATTTCCGTTCTTAAACTCCATTACAAAATACAAATATACATTTTAATGAAATTTAAATGAAATCGAACTTAGATGGGAAAACGAAGATATTGCTAATTATACTTTCGGGTAGAAATCTAGGCAAGGTAGACGGGGAGAATGAAGAGTGTGTGTGGCGGTAACGAGTCATACACCGTGCAGAGATTTCGAACATGACGTGCGTTAACAGTTGTGATGACAATCCTCTGCGCCATTACTTGGTGTTGATGGCTAACTAGTTCCCGAATTATTTTCGGACCAAATGGACGCGAATAGCATCACTTACTCTTAATACGAGTTACCATGCTGTTTCTAATCCATATTCTATATGAATACCCAAAAACAGACTGGCTTCTATTTGAAATACTCCTGTTTCTCAAAGGTGGAATATCCTAGGGAACTTTAAGAAGATTTACCGAATTAAGCACTTTATAAATTAATTTATTTTAAGGACATGCTGGAAGTGAGATCTTTTTCTATGTTTTTCTAATCAATGGTGAAATAATAAAGACCCAAGAAGAAAATGTAAGGATAACGTATTTCGAATTAGCTATACAGTGTTTAAATCAATCTCCCTTTAGCCTCCTATGGAAAATTTAAGGGGGTTAAAATAATAGCAATGTCAATGGAATTCAGAGAATCAGAAACGAATAGAAATTAGAATAATTTTTCAAATTTCAGACTTTATGACATTCATCAATAGCCACAGAAGAAATAAGAGTGCAAAACAGTGGAATAGGCCCCGAAAATAGAGTTGGAAGTCAAATTTCGTTTCAAAATTTTAGTTTCTACTTGTAATCGATCAGCAGGAATGCCATCTTTACGCTAAGGTGCTTTTAAACGTTTTAAATTATAAGTTATATCTTTCAATGTTTAAATGCTAATATCAATAATAATAGTTTCATAATCACTGAAAATTATTAAACGATTAAATGGACGACGATTTGCTACTTAAATGGAATCAGTAAATTATTTGTTATATTTGTAGGACGCATCAAAATTTCATTTAACTTGAACCAATAAATTGTATAACGTTCGTAAGGCAGTGAAATCATCTAAAACAATTACCAAATATTGATTTTTAATCAATGATCAGCTGAACTTCTTATGCATCAACTTTAATATTTTTTTTAGATGGAATAAAAATGCAATTAATACCGTTATTATTTCTTCTGCTACTTTCTTCTGCAAAATGCCGAGTTCAGTATTACGAAGCTGATCAATTAGCAACAGAGGGTGGTGATTGGTCTGTCAAATTCGTTCCACGTATCGGTCACAGAGTTTCTAACATAACTTGGGAATTCCAGAATAAGACGGTCATCTTTTGCGAATATACGGGATCGAAAGATGGACCCGTTTTGAACAGTTACTTTAAGTGTCCTAAAGGTTGTCTATACGAACAATGTCAAGCATTCGATTCTTATGGCATCCGCATTGAGGAGAATATCTTCCGTCTCTTTGCTTTTAAAGCTACAAGTGCCATGATTGGAGATTATAAGATCACTGTAACCTTCATCGGAAAGCATTATAATTTCACTTCCGTTAGTACCTTAGTAAAATCATCACCTTCCCTTTTACACTTGACTTCTCTCGTTTCAAATGTACCTCAGATTACAGAAGCTCTGAAAAGTCCATCAGCGGCCGTTCTAGATAAACAGAACCTTGATAACCTGAATAGCACACTTAAATTCATTCATGAAGGTATTTTTATTAAAGGATCTATCAAAGTCAATCTCGGTTTACCAGCAGGTGTAATTGGTATTTACTTAGTCAGGCAACCAAGAAACACCCACTATCCCTATTACGAACCCTGCGAAATTTCCTCGAATGCCAGTTTACACAATTTCTCCTGCCAACCCAGTATTGATGATTTTGCAATGGGTATTTTCATCGCAAATTCAGTGAATGCTTCAATTAGTAATGAACAAGCACTCGGCTTGCTGAAAGATTGGGTAATGAAACGTCTGGTGTTGTGGCGTTTTGATATGCCATATGTAGACACTCCGGCAGCCCCAGAGACAGTTTTTGGAAGGGATTATCGTGTGATTCCTTTAAAAATTGGTTGGTCTGCTGTTATTGAAGCGGGTGAAAAGGTGGAAATTTACTGTCCCCTTGTGAAACATGCGTCTCCACGTGCGATTAACTGTTTCCGGTCTCGAGCTTTATATTTCGACACAATTGATACTACCTTGCCAAGTGGATTTTGGGTTGAGTACTTTGAAGGAAATAAATTCTTCTATTTGAGGAAAAATTCTACAGATACTTCAGACAGTGGGGTTTATGGATGTACTGTAAAAGTAAATGGATATCCGCAGCCTGTGTGTTCTGACAGACGCCTTTATGTAATTGGTAATGTTATACCAGTTCGGACTTTATTATATAAGGACCTAGTTCCCACAGAAGACCTTGAACCAACAGACAGGTTTGAACAATTTACTGAGGACAAGGTGCCATTTTTGTTGACAACACAGAAAGCTTACATTTTGTGTTGGACAGAGACGGATACAAAGTATGACTACACCCTCTCCTTGAGCCTTCTTAAAGAGGACGGTAATGATACTACAGAATTTCCATTTAATTTGACCAATACGTATATTCTTCGTGAAGGTACTCACATAATACGGATATTCAAGTTCTACAGCATCAGTGGTGAGGGAAATGTTAATAACGGGGGAAAATTAAGAGCATATTGTTCAACAAGTTATGAAGAAATGGAACGTTCTATTCCGGAATGGATCATTGATCCAAATGACGTAAATGAAAATGCTGAGCTAGGTCGAGTAGCTGCGAATCTTCGATATATCCACATGTACCACCCAACCGAAGGGGACTTGAAATTCCACGGTACGGTTGATAGACTGGATGAGTATCCCGTCCCTCTAGGAACTGTTATTCGATGTTCTGGTGCTAACGGATATCCAAAGCCTGTATATAAGTGGACAGCGATTGATCCTACTCAATTCTCCACCGGTTTTATCGGAATGTCGAGAGTGTCAAAGATTTTCCTTGACAGCCCTCATGGCTTACCTAAATCTGCTTTCCAAGGCGAACAACTTAAAATCCCTAATGATCCGAAGTACAAGGGAATGAGTTATCTCCTCAAATGTACTGCCTCGAATAAATTTGCCGGACATGAATTCACCTCTCAGAGAGTTGTTTTCTTAAGCATCTGTTTATGTGACATCCGATTCGTCCAACTGGATCTGTCTTTAATCTTATCGCCTCAGATTGTCGCAGGTATTAGTCTAGTAGACTCAGACAATGAAAGGTCTACTTTGGATATCTACGGTGAGCGTTATGTTCACTTGCTACAGCAAATTATTTTGGGTCTCGGTTATGGAGAAGGATTAGTCCGTATTGGCTTGCATCCAACTTCTGTGCTGAGTAGAAATTTGAGGGAAGCTCCCTTGTATGCCTCTGTAACTCATTTCAGCACCAAATCATCAAGAATTGCTCTTGCAGAAGGTCTAATTTCACAAATTATCAGACCCCAGGCCATTTATGCAACCGATCCCGATGCATGCCCTCAAAAGCTACCTGTCAATCTCAAAGAAGGTTTCATTACAGCACTAAGAGACGCTCCCCGATCTTCCAAGAGACCTTTTGCCGTTGTTCTTCCACAAGATCGATGGGACGTTGGAGACGTGCAGAACTTCATACAAAACATAAGAAAAGTCTATGGCGAAGTTATTAGCGTGTTCTTTGAAGACGACAAGACGTGGGCTAAAGGTACACCTAATTATGCAATCCAGATAGCAAATTTCTCGAGTACATGCCAGAGATACAGTATTAATAGTCGTGCCAGTTTTATCCAACGCCTCCCACTTTTTAAAGCGATTTGCGCTATTGCAAAACCCGCTGTGTTATATGATGAAACGTTGATGGTAGCTATTTTTTCGAGTCATCAACCACATCAATTCTACTCGGGAGAGACTGTTAAAATCTTTGCCATTATTAGAAAAACGCCTTTTGACAAGCCTCCGGTAACATCATGGCTGTGTTTGATTGATGAGGAAGAAGCTAATTATATAAAACAAGGAGAGACGGATTTGGATTACTTGGACAGCGTTTGCTTGCAACCCTTGTTGAAGTCAAAACCAAGCAACTTAGATTCCAACTGCATCTACTTTGAGTTGGAGTTGGCCTTGAAAAAGAAGCTTGACAAAAAGTATCTGTTGGTTTACAAGCGAGGCGTAAAGAACACTTTGGTAAGTCTAAATGATCAGTTACTTTAAAAGAAACAATAAAGATATTTCAGAATTCGATGCATTTTAAAAGGTAGCCTATATCGTTGGAAATTCCTACTAACTTGCTAGGAAAGATAGTAATGAGGAAAAGATAGTTTAGAGATTGTGTTTTTGGAGAGAAAAAAGAAGATATCTTGTCTGATGTAGGCAATAAACGAATACGTTGGTATTATTATGCAGAAGACTGATAAATTGATGAGGTTTTTAAGGAAAAAACTATGAGCAGTAGGTATTTGTGTGGCTAAGGATTTATATTTAAATTCGCAACACATTTCAATAATGCACTTAATGTTTTCAGTCCAGTCAAGAAGTTGCCATCTTACCGATTCGTTTAAACCGCGGTGAATTCTCCAAGCCCACTTTAAGATTAAAGAGTCCAGCTGTGAAAGCAATGGATTCAGCTGAATTTGAGTGCGAATTTGTGATGCCGCACTTGAAATTTCAAGTCTATCTCATCTACCAACCCCCAAACAACGATACTTATGTAATAATTACTCAGAAAACATCAATGGACTTGGAATATTCCTATAGAAATATTGGTCATAACGTGACTGTTCCACTCATTTGGCCCTTCTTTCCTGCTGAAGCTGCAGATAGGGAAATTTACTGCGCTGTTAGCCAAATAGGTCAATTTAAAGACAATCTCTATGATCTCCCGCCATTAGTCAGTGAGCCAATTTATCATAACCTCTCCGCCATTTGCCCTATGAGACCAACCATTGAAAGATTAGTTTTTCCACCGAAGACGAACTTAACTGAAGGTTCTCGAGTGACTTTTATTTGTGAAGCGGTAACTGGGCAAGACCATATGCATGCTCTTCAAATGTCTTACATCGAGTCGTCTGTAGATATGATCATCTGTTCAAATCGGGGTGGTGGAAAAGTGAACATCAGCGTCCCTTGTATGTTCAGTCCTTTTAGAGATTCAGGTTGCTGGAGCCACGAAAAAGTCTTATCGGACATCCATCCAAAAGGCGCATTCGCTAATTGTAGCATCTCCCATAGAGAGAGAGATGGTGCCTACATTCGAAGGATTGAATATACTATTCCAGTGATCACAGTACGACACTTTGAATCCTTTCTCTTTTGCGAAACTATTCCAACATGGGAGGTTGAAGAAGAAAGTCGACTTCTTAGTGATCCTATTGATAATCTATTCCCTGTTGGCCCAAGAGTCACTTACATTAGAGTGGGCTACTATCAATGGCAATGTGGTGTATTGGCTTATCCTGAACCTATTAATGCCTCCTGGGCGCCGCTTGAAGCGTCGCCAGAAACCTTTGCATCTGGATTGCGTCGATTCCAATTCACTAAAGATTTAGCTGCATCTGTACGACATCGTGGATACCTTGTATCTATGAGTTACTTTCCAATGAAGTTTAGAAGACCGGATTGGAGAACACCCTATGAGTTTACTTTAAAGTGGCCTGCTCCCTATGTCTTCCAAGTTGGACTCTTTGGTAAAGCAAAATTTGTTTGCTATGTAGTGGGCCCAAACAACAAAACAGCCTACGAAGAAGCAGTTATTATGTACGGCTTTGGGAGTTCCAACGGTGGGTGGACAGCTTCAGGTTCCATTGAACCTGACCTTGGAGTGGTTAATCCTGATGACCCATGGACTATAAAATGCCCACTAAGAGAGATAGCAGAGAATGCAGAAGTTTTTTTCCATGTGTTTCTACTTGCCCAAGTAAAGGCTCCTTCTATCGAACCTTTAGAAATTCCACTGCTACACCTAACTATCTATAAACCGAAAAATGATAGCTCCAGGATTAATCATCTTAAACTTCTCGGGTGGTGGTCCTTTGGAAGGGGGAGGGAGTTTGATATTTCTTTGACCAAGGGCCATCAGGACAATCAAGTCGTTAAAATTGATTTACCAAAAGCATTTGTAAGTTCACTACTTATTAATAAGAACTTATTTCATCAACGTAGTTATTGCTGCAAAAACAAGAGGGCATTTCTTCGAAATTTTTATTTACCATTACTTTAGATTACATTTTTGCAATAAATTAAGGTGCCAAATTTTAAAATACTATTAAATCACTAAGTAAATATATAAAGAAATTATATTATTTTTAGATGCATGATACTGGAAGATATATGTGCCGTTTTCACGTAGACAGTGTTTATTACGATGCACCAGTAGTTCCAGATCTTGTAGTCCCTGCAGATAAGCAATCTCCAATAATTGGGTATTTAGCAGAAAATAGAAGTTGGGAATTCTCAGATTCCTATTCAAGGTATCTCACATTCTTCGATGATGAATATTTCACGAGCCAATGTTTAATATGGAGATTTCAAAATCCCTACGAAACCTATTTCACCAAACCTCTTATAGCGGAGTCCACTAAGCGCAATCCTAATATGGCCAAAATTACCAAAAGTCCTACCATACTAACCGAGAAGACAATATTCCAACATTATTCCTTCTACACGGTTAATATTTCTTGGCATCTTAACGTTCACTTTGACTATGATAAGCACGTTGGGTGCTACTGGAATTTAGACACGAAAGAGGAAAGGGAACTTGGCGAGAAATTTGGGCCCCTAAAGATTTGTGCTCCCACTGAGAGCCTAAAAACGAGGCCGGATCCCAATGAACCAATGGCAAGGGATGGAGTTATAGAATGCTATGATGATGGGGAAATTTATCATGAACATGAATTCACTTGGGTATATAGATTTGGACCCTTGCCACGTTTAAATGACTCAGTTGAAGTTAGTGGTATTCCCAGAATTATCAAATCATCAAAATTAGATTTGTACTTACTTCCCATGCCAGGATTTTATATTTACAAGTGTGTAGCGAGCAGTTTCTGTGGTGGCAAAAAAATGGTGTCCGAGAAGACCATACAATTTGTGGTGGTTGGTGATGAAAAAGCACCTGCTTTTACTACGGTGTCAATTTCTAAACGAATGATTCTCCTTCCAGAGAAGTTCACCGTTGAATGTCCAAGCATTCTAAGCGAAGGAAGTTATCTAACAGCATTGAATTTAACCTGGTTTCGTATCAATCGCCCAGCAAATACAGTCTCACCACATCTGAATAAATTCGCGAAAATCCTCTCTTATCATGATTTGATTAATAACACGGTAAATATTTCACATCCAAGCCTTGTTGCATATCACTTCGGTAGAAGAAATCGAGAGGTATTCGCTATAGATATTCAGTCAAGTTCCTTCGAAGATTACGGTTTCTACGGCTGTACTATAGGAGCTCTCAGACCGGTAGGAGAAGTGAGGAATTTGTCTCTAAGTCAGGTTTCTGAATATCCTATCTGTATTGTTGACAACCATGCAGATGTGCAAATTGTAACAAAACCAGACCAATCAGACGATTGTTACACTGAAGGTGAGGTGATCAATGTTTACTGCCAAGCAACTGTCTTCCAGATTTTTTGTGATGAGGAGGACAAACCTGTTGGCTCTCGTTTCGTTGAAACTGACGCTACTGTGCATATCACCTCGGGAAATTTTGATAAATCCTCCCCACTGCGTCTGTTCTCTTTTCGTATATTAGAATGGAAGCCACCGATAAAAACGGTTCAATACGCACCTGTTCCAATAACAATTACCCGCAGCCACCACAATGCAAAACTTAGTTGTTTAATAGAACCAAAGTTGCTGAATGTTTCCCTTGTAAATCGAAATGAATGGCAGAGAATAAGAGCGAAAATCATTCGACGAGCTTCAAGAAAATTGTGTGTCTTTAGTCCAGCTTCAGATTACATAATCATTCCAACACCTCCAGAACAAGTGAGTATGACAAAGGTGGCATTTAAAATCGAATCAGGAGAGTGGGTAACGTGCATAGCTAGTGGAAACCCCCCGCCCACAGTGACTCTCGATGCTTATCCAATGAGAAGAGGAGCACTTGCTGATGCAATGCGATTGGGACTTGAGGGAATTGAGAATTGGCGGGATTACTCAAGGGCACAACCTGATTGGCCGTCAGCACCGTTGAAGAATGATACTGGATCTATGCTAATGGTGCTGAAAGAACTTAATGATCCTCCAGATGTCACCTATTTTGGGGTCTGCCGTGGTACAAATAGAGTCAATAAAACAGAAGTAACCACTTACAAGGTAATACATTTTGTAGGATTGTGAATGTAAAGTAAGGCATTGACTAAAATTGGTTTTTATATTTTATTTAATGATATTATTTTGGATATGGAATGCATTAAATCTTTCAGTTGGATAACGCGCAGAAGGAGAACAGTTAAATTAGGAGTTTACGATAAATTTCCTCTCTAAAAGGTATGGGACATCGAATTAACACCTACGTTTACAGCAGTTCCCGTTCAGGTGAATACAAGGGGATAAATCAGAAGAATTTATACTAGCGGAATTTCATAGGAGACTTACTCTTCCAGTTGAAATTACTTAGAATAAGACTGAGTGGGCATAAATTTTCCCAGGCATACGAAAGATTGCAATATAAGAAATGCATTTTACGTTTGCTATGTAAATTATGCCTCATATTTACACTTGTCTAACATTTGCATATTTAGACTTTCATCTTCCGAATTCGAGAAACTCGTGGATTCACAAGCACTGCCACATTCAACCACTTCCTGATTATCGCCTTCATGATGGCTTTGCTGATATACGTATTGGGAACATTTATTCATGAGCTCTTGGTTCTTCGACATCGTCATCGTCGTTTGAAGAAGGAATAATATACCACAATTTAAGCCTTGCTCATCATTGTCGTGTTTTAAAGCACTGGAGTATTTCAGTAAAAGGGAATATAGTCTTTTTAATGACTGATAATTTGACAATTGACTCATTCACCAAACTCGAACGTAGAAGCCAGCGGCTTGCTTAGGTTAACATCCTTTGCCTCATATGAAAGAATTCGGCAATGTGCTTTGTCACTGTTAATGCAGAGACGGTAAGAAAGACATCTTCAAAAACACATCTCTTCTATTTCAAATTTGATTAAATTGTGAAAGAAGCAGTTGATAAACGATTCGAGAGATTTCCAAAATGGAAGGATTGATGAAAAGTCACATAATGGTTTCGATTAATCACTCCATAATAGCTAATAGTACTTTAAGGAATCTTTAGGAAGTTTAACCAATAGAAATTTGCTAATTTCCTCGGGGTTACTATTTTTATCAATAGTCAAGCTATCCTGCTTTCAATTTTAACGTCATTCCATTCATAAACGAAATAACAAAAAATAACGAACTACGATTTTAGGCTATAATATAAAGATATTTAACTGGTTCTACCTTCCTCTTCAAATTTCAGAACTCCTGGGTTTGAGAGCAGCCATCACACTGACTACCACTTCAAACACAACCAAATTGCACCCCCTTTGTAGGTTACAGACAGGTTTTGGAAAGGTCATTTGAATAAAAATATTATGATATCCATTGTCACCAGCCCCTCTAATAGATGAAGAAAGTTTTAATCGAATCAATCTTGTTTCGCGAAATTCATTCATTCACAAACTAAGATTTGCTTCGGCACTGTGGGATTTATATGAAGGAAACTTTAGACCCATAATGGGAGAGGGGATCAGAGGCGATCGAAAACATTCCAATGAAAACACATAACTAAGCAGTTGGACAAGGAGAGACGATGATAGTGGCTCACATTGCAATATTGAAGGTGAAGTCAAGGAGGCACACTTCTGGCATAGCGGTAACGAACAAAGCTCACCAGCAGCTAATGATTATTTCATTGTTTAAACTTAATAATGATTGAAAAATACTTTCATCTGCACCACTGCCCTTTGGCTTTCATCTACATGTTTCTGCTTCGCAGTGGCATTAACTGAAAGACACAGTATGTCGTTGTTCTGGATTCATGGCAAAAGCTCCAGCACGCTTATTGCAACCACGATGCACATGTCTCTGAGAATAGGAACCAAGTCGTTTGAGTCACCACTGATTCTTGCGATAAAGGTACTATTAATACGAATGAAATTAACGCCAAGTCCAATGAGTCCAGCAATCTTTGAAGACGAGGCATATTGAAAGCATTGCAGATAGCCTCCCCCCCCCCAACAAAGATTGCCTTTTACTGTGAGAAGGAAGGAGCTAGGCATTTGAGAATCTGGTACCCAAAATTGAAGAGAGGGGGAGAGGTGTATACAATTTAATTTCACAAATAACAGTTAGTCGACAGTGGTTTGTGATTTGGATGGCNTGGTGTCAATGCTTGATTCCATCCAGTAATAGACCTTTCATTCCACTGCCAAGTTATACTGCATAGTTTGAATATTCACTGCAATAATCAATAGTTTCGAAAGTTTATTTATTTATATCAAATGGCAGGCGTTTTGATAATTATCATTAGCCCTTTAGTCGACTTCAGGCTTCACAGAGGGGAAGGAACATCAAAGTGAAAAAATGTAGAGAGTGGGAGGGGGGAGTGGAATAGAAGAGTGTTTAAAGCTGTAAAAGAGGCAGACACAAAGGTAGAAAACAGGTGAGGCGAGTAATGTGGAAGCAGTCGAATATGACATACAGTGGGGTCATGGTAGTTTGAAGTCAACTGCCGGTTAATAGACTTTTTTGCCGTAGGAGCATACGTTGCCCAGGATGCACCATGTGGAGGTAAGTCTATCGCACACCCCTCATGGCTTGGAGAGTAGGTATAGCTGGAGTCTTCAATGCGGACTCTTTAAAGGTAATTTTCATATTAAAGCACATTGATATTTGAAATATATTTAAGTCATTGCCTTTTAAATTTAACTAACTGCACAGTTAGAAGTGGAATAAAAAAGCTGTGAAAGATGTTAAGACATTTGATCATCATTATGTGCTGACATTATCGTTTGATATGTTGTGCAAATAATTGAAGCACTGAGGTACTTGGAATAGTCATAAATTTTCCAATAATGAAAGTCAACTCTCGGCTTAGAGGCTCATGGCTATTTGGTAGGCCTAAAGCAACTCAGGCAAAGCAATGAACAAAATCAGATATTTGTAGTGACTAACTTTATGTTTTTATCCCAGAAAAATTGAGGCGTCGTTTTCATTGATATGTCTAAAGGTATATATACATGATAAGGAAAAAAATTATGGAGAAATAGGAGAGCAGGTAAAATACAGAAACACTTCATTAATCAGAAGGTCATAAGTAACTTTAAATTACAAAGATTAACCAGATAAACAATGTTGCGTGCTTTAGGACAGTCACTTGCTTACCGCCAGATTCTAAATATTCATCAATGGCGGAATTTAGATGCATTAAAACGTCCGTTCATCTACCAATGAGAATTGAATTAACTAATATTGAAAAACCACGTGGAATTCAGAGTCATGCGATTTCACCATGATTGCAGCTGGTCTAACGCATTAATGAGTGCCTAAAAGGAAAGAGTGGCCTGCCATTTATACCTAGTGGACCCTCTTCATGACAAAATCAAGAATGAGAGGAGAGAAATAGGGATTTGTGGCACGAACCACCTCACCTCCAGTGTTTCATCTTCGCAGTGGCATTGACTGAAAGACACGGAGATGTCATTGTTCTGGAAGCATGGCAAAAGCTCCGGCACGCTTATTGCAACCATGATGGATGTGCTTCTGAAAATAGGAACCAAGTCGTTTGAGTCACCACTGATTCTTGCGATAGAGGTACTCAACGCCAAGTCCAATGAGTCCAGCAATCTTTGAAGACGAGGCATATTGAAAGTATTGCAGATAGCCTCCCCCCCCCCAACAAAGATTGCCTTTTACTGTGAGAAGGAAGGAGCTAGGCATTTGAGAATCTGGTACCCAAAATTGAAGAGAGGGGGAGAGGTGTATACAATTTAATTTCACAAATAACAGTTAGTCGACAGTGGTTTGTGATTTGGATGGCTTGATTAACAGACTCTCCATAGACCCATAGCCTCATCCTTCGGCGTCTGCTCTAAGATAGACTTCTTAGTGTTGGGTGCTGTTTGGAAGTTTGGTGAAAGGCAGTGGAAGTTTGAAGATAGTTGAATCCATTAACTTCACATGGATCAAAGTAATTCGCTCTCCCATAGACGACACATTTCAAGACCAGGAGCTTTATCCCCTGATCGACTATTTCCATTTTCAACTGCATGACGACAACTATTGCATTTTGTACTCTAGGACTGTGATTCTGAATAATTATTATCGAAAA